GACAGCGCCAGGGGATTTAAGGTACGGCAGGCAGCTGGGCATTCAGCAATCCCAGCTCAGCGATCGCTAGCCGCTGTGTCTGACTGTCTGGACAGGAATGCTCTGCCAGTGCCTGCACAGCCCCCCATCCTCTGCACAGAGCCTGAGGTCATGTTCCTTACTGGGAAAGCCTTCAACAGGTGCTGTATCTCCAAGGGCACTGCTCTCCCTGCCCACCAGTCCCTGCGCACAGAGCGGTGGCACGGAGGGGTAGGGGTAGGTCATCACTGCAGGGAAACTCGTCAGCAATGAGCAAGATTGCAGGCACGTGAGAGGGCTGCGTGCTCGCTCAGGCACTCAGCCTCGCTAGGGGCAACGATGACAGGAGCTTGGCCACCTCCCCCTGCCAGCATCACCTCTGCCTTGCCTGAATTTGGTTCCCATCAGATAGCCTTTCATTTGGGCACCAAGATATGCCAGCTTCAGTGAACTACTTCGTGTCAGTCAATTCCTCGTCAGTTATTTGAGCCCCTCCAAAACTGCAGATGGCCAAGAGCAAGTATCTAGAAATGTCTCCAGCCTCTGCTTCAGGAAAGACAGAAAGGCAACAGCTACCTTAGGTGCAACAGACACTTTAAAAACAACCTGGGGAAATACAGAAAAACAAAGGGTGACCTGCCCTTCCTCGGGCAGTGCTAAGTGATGCTGACAGAGAAAGTCAAGACAACTCGGAGAAGAAAAGGAAAAACTGAAGTTACCCCCTGGTTAGGCATCTGTAATTTGCTGTAATGTCTTCTTGACTATGACTGAGGGACTTCTGCTAGAAGCCACATGCAAATTGTCTGCTGTGGTGGCTACAAGCAAAACCAGTCCTTCTGGCCCAGCAGCTGGGTGAGTAGCAGCAAGAACAACATGGGCCTTTAGGGGTGGTACAGTCTAACACTTTGGTCCCGTGTCCATGGACTCTTACAGAAAAGTACAGGTGATTTTTTTGAAAAAACAAAAGTGTGGGTTGTTGCATAGTAAGCAGGAACCACCACCTCTCCATCCCCACTGAGCTGCCAGCAGCAGAGGTTCTTGTCAGGGAAAGGCACCTTTCCCACCTTTACTGCCTCCTTCAACAGAAAACCCACAGCTCCAGAGGAACTTCACAAAACAAAGTGTGGAGGAGTTGCAGCCTGGGTGCAAGGGCACCTCAGCACTGATCTGAGGCAGATGGGCTGAAGCCGTAAGTTCTTCCTCACCCAAAAGGACCAGACGATGCCACAGTTGTCATTCTGAGCTTAACATACTCCTCACAGAGTCCCTCTTGCACAGACCTCCGTAAGGTCCAGCAGCTGCATCTTTGGTTCCAATATACAGGCACTTGCCTGGGTACCAAAATGACCCACACCACGGCAGGGTGACAAAGAAATACAGAACAAATGGCTCAATAGCAGCTAGAGTTTGCCAGGAGATGTCTCCGAGTATCATCACTTTGCCCATAATGGCATTTAATAGCACACCTCATATATCTGTACCCTCCTGTGGATACTACCTGGACATACTGCTCTGAACACATCCCCCTGGGAAAGAGATTTAACCCCTACTCCTCCATCCACCCTGCTGCTACCGCTGCCCATCAACTGGACAAGGGCAAACTGCTGAGTTTCATGGTTCTCCTTCACTGTGGGACCACCACTAGCCTGTCCCATTCCTGCATGCGCCTGGGGACCATGACACAATGCTGGGGCCAAACCAAGTTCCTTAGAGGGACAGCAAGACCTGACCCCCTTCTGTCAGCTCCTACAGCCAGGGCAGAAGCCTCCACTGGGAGCCGAGCTGCCCAGTCTCACAAAGCAGAGGCTGTGGCCCAACCGAGCGTGGCGTTAGCTGCCTGTGGGTTTGGGGAAGCATCCTGCCAGTAACCAGGTTTGACTTACACAGCTGGGATGTGCCGTGGAACAGGTGCCTGAGCCCCTCGCAGGGAGGCATCCCGCCCTGCTGTGCTGGTCCTCCTCCGGAGGGAGCTTGCAGGGGGCTGGAAGACAGCGGCGGCACCGGGCGGGTGGTACTCCTGCTCAGGAACGACTTCTTCGCACCGGGAGCCCTGGAAGCCCGAGCGACAGGTACAGACCTGGGGACGGCTGCAGGAGCCCTTGTTCTGGCATGGTGGGTCACAGACAGCTGGGGAGACACAGAAAGGTGGTTAGTGGACACAGGGCTCACGGCAGCGTGCTCAGACCCACATGGTGGCACCTGGCTGGGACAGCACAACCGGGGTGGCCCCATCTCTTCTCTGCAGGCAGGTGGCCTTCAAAGTCTCAGTGTTACTGCTGCCATGGGTCCCTAACACAAGGTCATGGCCAGCAGAGGCTTGTTTCTGTCCCAGTTCTCCCCACCGGTCTCTGCAAAGCTCTTCTCCAGCAATACTCATTTCAGAAAGCCCAAAAATGAGCAGCATGGTCTGCAGAGAGCGTACAGCCTCCAGCACTGCCCATAGATCTCTGAGCAGGCGTAGGACCTCAATCCCAGAGCAAGGGAAGCCAACAACTGCCAGACAAGAAGACAGATGACCATGCACTATCACAGCCTCTTGGGAATAGTTTGCAAGTTACCTTCCTGCGTTAGTCTGTTTTGGGGTCTGATTTGCATGGTTCCCCCAGCTGTCCCCTCCAGAGCTCTCCCTCTGCAGCTGATTTTGGAGTCACTGCGCTCAAATTCCTCCACAGCTACGGGGACTTACAGTTCATTAACTTCATGCCCAAATCACCCTCTGAGCCTGTGTGTGTTCCTAATTACAGCACATCAGCTTCAGTTTGCACCCTGGGAGGAAAGTGCTATTAATTATACGCTGGACCCTAACACTTCCCAAGTCAACAGATGCCAAATTGGGTTTATAGCCCAGCCAGCGAGAGCCAGGAAACCACAGCTTGCCCAGGTAGGACTGGGCTCGTTGTTCTGAGCAAGAGTAATTGAAAAGGCACTGGAAAACAGTGTCGTCCCTCAAAGAAGGAAAGGGCTGGCTGGCCAAAAGGGAATGAAACCTTATCCGACAACACGAGGTGGACATTAACCTCCAGCCACATGGGAACCCTGTGAATGGGCTGAAACACGCAGCCACTGCTTCTGCCGAGGGCCCCTTCCCCAGGACTGCCCCACAGAGTCTGCAGGAGCATCCAACATCCCACCACCTTCACACGCAGCTGCTGGGCTTTCATAAGCATATCCCTCCCTCTCTGGCTGTGCTCTCCATCCCTGTGAGATTCAAGCACGCCTGCGAGAAACATTGCTTCTGGGCAACAAACATACAGAGAGCTCTAGCCCTGTGTGCCATCCACACATCATCCCACTGTTGTGCAGTGAGCAAAGTCCTTGTACAGGCTCTGGGGTCCTTTCACAGCAGTATAGCTCCCATAACCCTTCCCTCACCCCAAAACTGGACTGCCATCAGCTTTTCCTAACTAGATGAGGGATATGTTGGCTGGAATGCTTCATTTGACCTTTATTACCATGTTAACACTCAGAAAGAGAGGGAGATCTCAAGGAAAAGGAGAACCCAAGTCACGTAGGGCTGTATAGGTTAAAGCCAGAGGTTTTGATTAAATCCCCCAGTAAAATAAATCAGCCACCACTGCAGACTCTGGAACAGAGACAGGGTCCCAGTCAGGCAGGAATTAACCGTCTCTGGGAAGTCTGGCACTCCAAAAGTTGATGTAATTTATAATATAAAACTCAGCTGTGATTTAAATAGGCTGCCAGTCCCTACCGTTATCTCCCAATAAATGCCTGTTTTAACAAACACCACCAGACCAGGAAGCCTGCCATTGAAAACAACCGCTTCACGTGCTGAAATACTGCAGAGCTGCGACGCCAGGACGTGGGATCACAGTGGTTCTCACAACCTCTCCCACTAACAATGTTAGTAGTCATGTTAGACTGTGCCCTTCAGCAGAAAAGCAGTGATAAGTGACCACGCATTCTAAAAAGCCCCTAAAGGCAGCTGATACAGAGAAGAGGAAGAAGGGAATGGGATTAGCTTTCTGGTCCCTTCACACAGGATGGGTGGGGAGCTGCCCTAGCCGAAATATTCCAGCTCTAGAATTAATCTCCTTCCTGGTTGCCTTTGCAGACTCAGGAAAAACTTAAAAGAGCTTTAAAAAGTCACTGGTTTTCACTCAGTCCAGCTATGCGATGTAGGAAGAGCAGATCATTCAGCAGAAGTACTGCCAATGCCAAGTGTATGAAATCACGAGTCAGGCCCCCAAAAACATAACACTGCCAGAAGAAACAAGATGGTTAAATATATATATGTATGTATGTATTTGGAATCTTTATCTTTGCTTTCTGGTTTCTGAGCTCAGGGGTTACTCTGAGATGTCTCTCCCCAGATGTGGGGGATATAGACAGTTTCTGTTAAGATGACAGCCACTCATTTCTTTTCACTGTAGTCTCACGTAATGACCTGCTCCAGGAGCTGGGGCTTTAGGGAAAGCAAAAAGAGTCATCTTAAAATGCTTATTAAAAGGATGAGATGTGGAACACTGCTGCAGTATCATTAGTAGCACTGCTAATTTGTTCAAGAGCATCTAGCTGTGCCCTCACAGATCAAGTCCAGTGCTGTCTGGTCTTCGGTGCATGAGGTGAATCCTCCCTGCAAGGCCACACCGCAGGGACGACTGCGGCATGACTCCGACCACCCACCTAGGCCAGGCAGGCATGACCATCAGAAGGGAAGGTCACCAAGTCCAACCTCCCATTGCTTTGCAGGAACACCCGGCCCAGGACTGAGCAATGACATTGCAAGGTGACATTCAATTACTGCATCCCTGCTGCTCTGCACGTGCTCTAGGTCTAGGAGAGTGGTGTAGATCTTCATTGTAAGCAACTCCTGCTCAGTCCCATTTAAATGCAGGGGAACCTGTCCATCCAGCTAAGCATTCACAGGAAAACTGGGAAGATGCTGAAGGACTTGTACCACTGGGGTGATTTAGTCCACTTTCTCATGGAAAAGTTTGCTTATCAATGCAGAGCAATATGTAACCTCAGTTCTAACTTAATGCTCTGACTGTGTTAGCAAAGCCAGAAGGGATGAACAATTCAACACAAGTCTGTGCAGGCTGACAGGCAGGGAGATCAACAGCAATGTGGGAATAACAGAGAGGGAAAACAGAACTTCAATGAAAAACAGTCTGGGCTCAAAAAACCCTACAGTCACTGTACAGAAGAGAGACAAAAGGAGAGAGCATGTGAATGTCATCTTAATTTTGCAGATGTGGAAAAGCCCCAGGTGCTAATGCGACTGTCTGAAGACACACTGTGAGACCACAGCAGAGCCAGCAACTCATCCTGGAATCGCTGCGTCTTCATCCAGTATCTTAACCGCAAGACCATCTGCACGAGATTAGAAAGTGCATGAATTTATTTAGTCCTTCCCAACATGCTGATTAAAAGTGTTTCTTTTAAGCTTTAAAATATCCGTGTCAGAAAAAAGCTCACCCTGCATTACCAGCCCAGCCCAGGCTGCTATCTTGGGAACCAGCAGAGAACCATAGTAAATAATGCTGATGAAAGGGGAGGCTGATGAACTAACGTCAGGAGGCTGAGCAAGAGGATTCCCCTGCTCTGAAGCAGAGGGGAAGGATGATGAGCTAATAGGCAGCAGCTAAATTATTGGCAAGTGCACGCTGCAGCCCTCACAGCCCCTGAAACATGGGCAGTGCAAGGGGACTTCTGGTCAGCTTGTGTGTACCGACACCAGGACATAAGGCCCTGAGTCCTACCCCAGCATGAAGTTAAACAGGCGGGATGTTGGATGAACTCCTCGGGTCCAAGTTCAGGTGTAGCTCATTATCCCTAATGTCCCCTCCTGTGGGAAGACCTCTGGAGCCCCCCAGGATGCCCCGTATGCAGTTCGGTGCGGTGACCTGGCAGAGTGTGGGTAGAAACCAAGCCCATTGCAAGCAGGTGAGATCTTCCTCCTAAGCTCCTGTAGCTCACTTCCACATGAACAGTGGTGTCCTGAAGAGAGAGATTTCTCTTTTTCATCTTCCCAGTCATTGACTCTCTAAAAACTCCCCGAGTCCTCAATGCACTTTCGTCCTCAAAGCTGGAACAAACCAAAAGGCTACAGAAACCTGCCCATGTCTTGAATTCATTCATATGCAGAGATGTTGCAAGAGGAAAGTCCCTAGAAAAGCACAGGTGGAAGCAATCACCCTGCTCAGTAGGTGACAGGGAGTAGATAAAGGCAACAATTTGGCCTATCCTCTCTCCTGCACCCAGGCTCAGACTCATCAAAAACCAAGGTCCTGCCCAAGACCTGAACGCCAACTTCTTCCTTGCTTCATTGCCCCAAGAGGTTCCCTCTGGCTGCATTTCTACCCCGCTAACTTCCCTGCAACATCCCATACCAAAGACCACGGGATCAGACATTAAACAGTATTACAGGGCAGAAACTGACTGGGGCGGGCTGTCCAGTTTGCCTTGGCAGCCTTAAAAACAGCTGAACGTCCCCAGCAGCTTGAACTGCAGCAGAAAAGCCCGGCGAGGGAGGTAGCTGGGAACAAAATTATGTTTACACATCACTGGTCTCAACCTAAGACCTGCCTGAGATTTACCATCCTCGGTGGTGGTGGGGGGAATGACACCGTCAGGCCCAATCACGTCGACAGTGTCCTTTTAATGAATCCTTGGGAACAAGGGCCCAGCACCTGAGCAACCGCTAGACAGCCTGCGTGGCTGCGAGCCCAGATCTACTGCTCCTACAAAAATCCCTAATGAGAGAAAGATGCTGCCATCGCTGGCCCCGCGCTCTGTTTACAGACGCTGTCTGGCAGCACAGCACGCTCTCTACCGTTTGGCTTCTGTCGGCGGGGGGGTTGAGAGGGAGCAGGGAGGTGAGTCAGCCCTTGGCCTCTTGCTCCCGAACAGCGATCGCTAATGCAATTATCCCAGCGCGGCCGAAGCGCCGTGAGAGCCCCGCGGCAAACAAAGCTGAGCCT